AAACAAACGTTTCACGGGTATCCAAACTTATGGCCTGTGGTGTATATAAGCTTAATTGAAATTACTTGTATATCATCGTTGAATGTACAATAGCTATCCCGATACTTATTTAAGAGATGAAAAGCATTGGCATTGCCAAAATCTTCGAATTGAATTAAGCAATTTTGTCCGAAGCGCCTAACAACTGCCTGCATGAACTCTTCGATGAAATCTTCATATTCTTTTCCAGTAGCCCGTTTCTGACGCAATCCAATATATAATGGATCATCCAATATAATTTGAGTGTTTGTTCCAACGTCTAAAGTGATCGGCAAGCATTGATGGGGTTTAATGCCAGCCAAAGCAGTATACAATGACAATTTCCCCAATGGGATTCCCATTCCATTTGCTCCCAAATCACCCAAACCCAAAATTCTTTCTCCGTCAGTCACAACAATTGCTCGTACATCAGTTTCGGGCCAATTTTTCAAAATATCGTAAACATGACCTTTATCATGAATCGTAATGAAAAGTCCTTTTGAATATTGATAGATTAAACTGAATTTTTGACACGCAAGGCCAACGGTTGGTGTATAAACTAGTAGCATCATTCGACCAATGTCAGATGTGAGCACACGGAAGAATAGGCGCTCATTGCGGTCCTAAAATTAACACATATAATTTATTGTATACCATAAGTCGATCTTATGACAAAGTTAATAACTGAGGCTACTTACGTACAGATCCATGAGATACACAAATTTATCCAAATCATTTTCATAGCGATTTGACAAAAGTATGCAATGTTTAACTTGTTCTTCTTCGCTTTTTACCACAGCAGGAAAGAATCCACGAACTCCAATCACTTGCCGTTCCTCTCGCGTAAATGCCAAGCCCTGAAAAATATTCAATACATATATGCTATTAACTTTAGAATTGATTCAAATAGTGTTGACTCAAATTGTCAGATTTTTATCTATTTAATAATTAAATTCTATGACTTGGTGTGAAAACCAGGTGATTCTAAGGTTGAGTTGATTTTATAACATGTGCATGTAGAATAAATTTTTTTCAGTTTTTCTTTTCTTTTAATTTATGCAAATATTTTAAGGAATAATTTAATAGTTTTGTTCATTTTATGTGTTTTAATTTGGAGAAATATTTCAGTCTTTAGTCAAACATGTTTCAGTGTCAACACTCAGGTACATGTCATCAGCACCGCCCGGAAATAGTGCTGGTAAACCATAACATGTAAAAAAATAGTGCTCGAATAGTGCTGTCGATTGCAATTGGTCCCATGAATAGTGCTGTTCGGAGACGCTAGCAACGAATAGTTTAAAGTTGAAAAATCGATTTTTGGGTACTTTTGTATGGGAGGTATGTGAAATTTTAATTTTTTCTACACAAATTATACGTCAAAAAATAGTGCTAGAATAGTGCTGGCGAATGGCGTTTTTAGATTGTAAAAATGTTGACTGGTGGCCGAGCACTATTCGTCGAAAGTTGAAAAAAGTCGATTTTTCGATACATTTCCATGGCAAGTGTCCGAAATCGATTTTTTCGTATGATTACTGGCTCTTTGAGTCCTGTTCGGAAAAGTGAAACAGTATAGTACAATTGAGTCATGAAGGGAGTCACAATATGAGTCATAATCGGAGTCATTCATTTGTCCAAAGT